TCTTTCCCCTCCTGCTTCAGCAAGTGGAGCTTCCCCACAGTTTCCTAGGGACAGGGGAGCAAGACTCTTCCCAAGGCAATGATTTGCCACTGCCATCAGTCTGCCATGCCCATGCAACAAGTCAAGACAGCCCTGCAAACATATTCTGTTAAAAGAACAAAAGAGCTACTATGTTAGGCATAATGCTTAGCTTTTTTAAAGTAATCCTGCCTCTGAACAGTTAACCCTTGTAGCAAGAAGCATAAGATACATAGCAGCTGCTCTCAGATACTACTGTACAGTAGAGAAGTCACACAGTGCAAGGCGTGAAGTCCTACACAAAACCAGTTTTAACAGCATAGGTATCACTAAAATTTCATCAGAAAGGAAAAGGGAAATTCTCTCTCTCTCCTTCTTCCTATATGCATGTATAGGAGAGGTGGAACTGGAAAATGGCAACAATCATATAAAGCTAAACATAAAAACTGTCTTCTACCTTATTTTCCAACTATTTCAATCGTACCAACAACTTGACCTTCCCTTTCGAAGGGCACTTCATGCAGATCACATAAATCATGCGTGCAGTATTTTATGAACTGCAGACTGCAGCTACTGTGTAAATTACATTGCTGACTCAAACATACTTGGTTTTCCATTTGAAACAGACTAATTGTGCCAGAAGCATTCCCACTAAAATCAGCTACTGCAGAAATCGTAAGACTCTTGAAAAGCAGCAGAGTACTGTGGTATCAAAAAGCAAAGCACTTCTCTATTCTATAAAGAGCTTGAGCTCCATGAGGCATTTATTTTAGAGAATAGAACACAAGGAAAAAAAAAAAAAGGTCACACCAGTCTCATCCTTTACCTTTCCACTACTTTAAACTACCACATTACTAGAAGAAAAATTTACTATACTGAAGCAAAGTCATACCTCAAAAAAAAAAAAAAACCACACCCAGTATCTGGGCTGCATACAAACCAATAACCAATGCTAATGTTTACAGGATACTGAACTTAATGGTCATTTTTCTAGTAATCTGAATACTAAGCTCCCTCCTGGGTATTATTTATTCTAAGCCTTGATATAGTGCAAGCTGCCATCATGAGAGCGGAGAAGCGCAGGTTCCTTTCCAGATTCCAGACACAAGTCGTACGTACAGCAGCAGCAGGAAGGGTATTTTAAGTTTCAGAGTCTGACATCTAATTGAACTCTGTATGAAAAGAAAGACACATCTCTGAATCACAGACACACTAGATTGAGAAACTAGTCTTGACTAGTAGTAGGAGCAAGTTTGGAAGGCCATCTAATGCCCAGCCCATAGACAATCATAGAACAGCTTGTAATAAGCAATGGCTGGTTCCTGTATCAACAGATCACCAGCAAGAGAACTGAAGGAAAAAACTAAAGACAGCAAGTCTACTCCTGATAAACAGATTTAAAAAAGAAAAAAGTACTAAAGCAGTCAGAATATGAAAGTTAAAAACGCAGATGCTAACATTTTGTTACTCATAGTTTACATAGTGAAGTCTTTGACAAAAAGAAAGAGAGAGAGAAAGAGACAAACAAGTCACGACATGCTTAAGTTTAGCTAAAGAATTATGCTGATTAGTGAAGTGCAAGACACAGATTACCTGAAGATTTACTCAGCTTTGCTGAAAACACAGCAGTAGATTTTTCCTTAACAGGAGCAGCTTCTCTCTCAGCTTCCTTCACAAAGTCTTCTGGTTTTACTACACTGACTGTTTCTTTTTCAGTAGGCAAAGATGAGACATCTGTGGCCAGTAAGGGCACCATGGATACTTCAGGCACTTTGTCCACAGCCTCCAAGGACTTTTTCAAGAAATCAGTATCTTCTTCAGATTTTACTTCTACATTCTTTATAGACAGATCACAAGGTAGCTCTGGGCAAGACACCTGCCTTTTCTCATCTTCAATCACATTACCGATCACTCCACTGTCCTCTTTGTGCATTATTTCTCTGTCAGGGGTTTCTGCCACAAACTGAGGAACAGTTTTAGCATCAGCTAACATCACAAAGTCTTCTGTCACTGGGACTGGGGAAGACCCCATGGGTGAGAGACTTTTGTCATCTCCTATTTTTAGTTCCTTAGCAACAGATAAATCAGATGAATAGGCCACAGTATTCAGCTCTTCCATTTGAAGAGGAATCTTCTCTGCCTTAGCTATTTTCGTAGGCATTGGCTCAGATGGCAAAGCGGTAGTAATTCTGGAAGAGTCCAGTTTGGGTTGGAAAGACTCAAGATAAGGCTTGCCAGTGGCAGCTACCGAATCCATCAATCCTTCCTCATGCTCATCATCGGTTCCAATATCCTCGGCCAATTTATTTTGTAAGACAGGAGATGGATTTTCACTTTCTTTCTGAGGAAAGTCAGGAATCACCTCGCTACTAAACAAGTCAGATTTTCCGAACTGGGGAGACAGTTTGTCAACAAATTCCTTGTGTTCAGGCACATCCTGTGAAACGTGTTCTGTTACCAGTGTCTTTGAATAATCCGTAAAGGACGGAGAAGCAGATTCACCGGAGACCTTTGTTTCTTTAATTAAGTCACATGCAATAGATATATAAGGAGTCTCTATATCTTCAGGACTAGCACTACTCTCAACACCAGTTTTTTTAAATGTTACTTCTTCCTCTTTAGCTTCTTGTGTCTTTGTCAATGGTACATTCACTGCCTCTTGGTATAAGGGAGGTTTATTGGTCTCCAGGTTTACATTCTCATAATTAGCAGTAGGAATAAATGTCTCTAACGGGGAAGCTTCAAGCTGCACAGCAGATGCTTCTGCACTGGCAGTTCCAGCGCTTAATGGGGCTTCCATAACAATATCAGGCAATATGGGTGATGGGGCAGCTTCAGACCCTTCAAATGAGGGACAGAGTTGTGTCACAGGTTTCAGAGTCTCTTGTACTGACTCAGAGGTTTGAACTAAATCAATCTTTGTTTCATAAGCAAGTTTTGTACATGCTGCATCATGCAGTTCACTTTCATACGCTTCTTGCACTAGATCAGGAGTAAGACCTTCAGGCATACTTGCTGCAGTGTCAGATGGCACTGTTGATAAACTATCTGTTTTAGCATAGTCAGCTTCCTGTCCTTCCTGCTTACCAACTGCTTGAGCGCTAAAATCACCTTGTTCTGTGCTGGTCTGAGCTTTCATTTCTGCAATTTTTTTCTCATCATCAGTTTTATTTTCTGAAGTGCCTTCCTCTAGTGGAGAAAGAGATTCAGTTTTGTTACGATCAGGAGTTACAGGGGATTCAAATTTATTGCAAGTGATGTAAGCCTGCAAAGAATGACCTTCAGTGCTGCCTTCACTCTCTTTTTCATAATCCTTCTGTACAGACATCTTATCTACACCATATTCCTCATCTAAATCGCTTTCTAATTTGCCATCTATCTTACTTCCAACATCCTCTTTCAAGCTGCTAAGTCCACGACCAGCAGCTTTTACTTCCCATATCGGCTCAAACGGTTTGAAGTCGACATATTCTTCCCTTTTAAGAGTGTCTTCTTTCAATGTCCCTTTTTCACCATGATCACCACCTCCATGTTGCTCTTTGCTGTAACGGGTATCTTCCTCATTTTTCTCAAACGAATCTTTAGGAGTTTCTGAAGATATATCCACTTGCTGTGCAGGCATTTTCTCTACATTAGGTAATTCTTTAGGGCCCTCTAGCTGTATTTCTTCCTTAGCTGGAGATAAAATGGCTGCTTCTGCTTTAGCAAACGAGGATTCCATTTCCGAGTATTTCACCTCTGGAATGTCTTTTTCGTTTCTCTCTGGGAGAAACGGATTTCTTGCATTTTCTGTAGTTTCTTTATAAATCTCACTTGCATTTTCTTTGAAAACGCCTCTTGCAGGTAATCCATCTGAGAGTGCATCAAAGGCTGTGTGCTCTTTAAAGGGATCAGCTGAGAAAGAAGAGAGGGAAGGAAGAGTAGCAGCAGTGACAAGTGGGACTGTAGTGAAATCCTCTTGATCAAATGACTTAGTGCTACCTGGCTGCTCCTGCAAGTCCAGGACTTTTTCTGTGACCGTGGACAGAAAGGAAAGTTAGAGAATGCAAGTGCAATGCAAACTTTCATGACAGCTTCATATAGTGTTAGTCATTAAGAAAGTCTTCCGAGTACCATCATAAACACCACTAGCCACTTAAGCAAAGTACAGGTTAAAAAATGCTATTCTATTTCACCTCTTCTAGCAAAGAGGTATGAAAGATGCTAGAGAAGCAGCAACTTTACACAGTGCAAAGATCACAGTAAAGCTGAAGATGCCAGAAAGTACAGAGCACCCAGGTAGAGCAGGCAATATTAACAGAAGGGTGGTGGGGAGAGAGAGGAGACAGAGCATGTATGTGTGTGTGCTTGCACATAAACATATGCTTAAATGTGCATGCCAATAAAACAAGAGTCTTGTTTTTTGACACTTTTTTGTAATGAGAATTTGGTGGACGATATAGCTAAACAAAAAACACTAAATAAATACTACAGGCACAAATTTTACTTACACAAAATACTGCAGAAAGTTACTACGGACTTAATCTTTCTGCTAAATCAGTAAAAGCAACTATGCTTTAACATGTTAACTTGTTAATAGTATCAACTTTTCTCTTACATCAAGGGTCCAAGAATTCACAGGTGGCTCTGCCTTGTTGATAAAATGCTGTTTACCATGTAAAGAAATTGATGCATATTAAAATCTTGAACATCAACTGAAAATTTAAAACTGAAAAAAATAGAGGCTATTCTTGGACCCATGTTGACTTTTACTAAATGCAGAATAATTGGAAAGAGTTAACGAGATCAGATCAGAAATGCAGGGCGTATTCAGACAAAGGTGAGCAGAGAGAACTTGCCTGCAGAGGAGTGCATCAGAGGCGCAGATGTAGCAGGAAGAGCAAAAAGGGTCTCATCTGAAAAACAAACAAATAACCTCAGCAGAAATAAAAGCTAAGTAGTCTGAAAAGGGGAGAGAGCAAGCAAGGAGTAAGTTCCCAGCAAATCAACAGCTATATAACCAACATCTGCTTCTGTGGTTCTTTGTGGGTGTAGATATAAGCCGGGTAAGCTAGGGGAGCCGGTGTTCAGAATTCTCCACTTATAACAGGTTCTTTATCAAAGTAACTGAGGCATCTAGCTATATCCTTCAAGCCAACGATTGATTTTAAGACAAGACATGCCATAGTAACTAGTCTATTTCCATTCTCTGAACTTCCACACTACTGAGAAGCTTTGGTATCTCTAACAGTAAAGAACAAACATGCCTGCCATTGACACTGACACACTGTCCTTAACTTGCATTAAAAGAGCAGTAACAAAAGACTCTTTCAACCAAAAATTCTGGAAAGTTAAATCGTATAAAGTAAGTTTTGAAACTGTCCATAAACAGAGAGCCGATGCTGACCAAACGGATAACAGTAAGTGACTGTACTCTTTATTACTATTTGCATTATGTTACAGCACAGACAAACTGCCAAATGAAGGCGCTATTTTAAATTCCTCTTTGGCATAATCTATGGAGCATATTTTGCCTTTCTGAATTTGTTTTGACCTTAACAGTTTACACAGAAAAGTCTCAGATTTCCAATTTCCACCCAAAGAGCTAAATAAAAATAAGGAAGGGAACCTTTCTAATAAGCTAAGGAAGTCACTCCATGTCACAAAGGCACTAAGGTAAGAAGCTAGATAATCCCAGAGTTTCATATTGCAGGCTACCTGTAATAAATGCATACAGGTAAAACATTGTACAAAGCTGCACGAAACAGTTAATGAAAACCCCATTTAGAAGCAGATGTTTTTTTAAACTGTGAACAATGCCAGCCTCCATTACGAATCAGACAGATCAGAACAAGTCCTCCCCTCCTTTCTGCATCAACTGTGTTATTTTTACCTGGTCCACTGTGGCTTGTTGCCATTACATTAATATAAAAATAGTAACACTTAGATAAAAGTATTTCAATTTTGGAGGGTACCCAGTTTTCAAACTAATGCTGTTAAAGACTAATTCCAATTTACATTAATTGTATTAGTAGAATTCAAAATAATGTTAAAGTATTACAATTAGATTTTGAATTTCCATTACAGGCAACATCGACCATCTTTAGTTTGCTGTTTGCCTGAGCAAAGTGCTAGCAAAGTTAAGAACTTAAGTTCTTAAGTGCTGACTCTGTGCAAATTCAGCATTTTTTTTCCCCTTTATTGTCACAGTGTAAAGAAGCTATTGTTTTTCAAAGATGAGAAGCCAAAAAACAAATTCTGTAGGCCCAGCAGCACACATCTAACGATCCAATAACGCAACACATCAGGTAATTTTTGTCTCTGCACTGAACCAAGACCTTCTGTAAAAACTATGCCACTTCAAGATACTCATGAAGTATCTGGCCTACCCGAATTATTCCCAAGAGCAGTTTTCCAAACATCAGAAGTCTCCTTACAGTCTACATCTCCTGTCACAACGTAGAGTTATTTTTGTTTCAAGAATTGCATAACATTGTTCATCCTCAAGTGATGTTTATAATCCACAAAATAGGGCAAGATATGAGAAAACAGAATAATAAAGTTGGAAAGTAGGGCTCAACAGTTGGAAGCTTCCTCAACTCCTGACCAGCTAAAAGGATTTCTCCTCAGTTTTCTAGAAATTGTGTTTTCCTGTTAAGGACCACACAAAGAAAAACCTCAATCCCAAATTTAGAACATGTTAAAACAGTGTTACAGTTTAATGGTGGCAAAAGCCTTCAAGGATAAAAGCCACACTGAAGGACAACTGACCAATATATGAAACTGCAGGTCACAGAGAAGTACTACAATGCTCATCAATACATTGCCAAATATCACTCTATGCTCTTTGTTCCAGGAGACACTGAACTCTGTGCACCCTGGCTCATGGGAATCTCCACTACCAGATGCTGCTCCTTCTCCAAGCAGATGGCTAGTGCAGGGCCCACTGGCCCACAGACAAGTTAGCAAGCTACCTGATTTGGAGATCTAGAGAAGGGACTTTCACTGAAAAGTCAGCTTGAGACCAATCAGTCAGTCCAGCGAGCTGTTCTGCCGCCTTCATCGTGTCACCGTTAAGAGCATCGTTTTGTTTTTCTTTCTCCACGCATCTGTCAACTTCAGTTTCTAGCATACCCAGCACACCAAGGGCCAGCATTCAGCTTTAGATTTCAGGCTAGCAAGCCTTAGGCTTTGCACTGAGGAGAGCGACACTTTCCTTTTCCAAGCAAGCAGCATCTCCTGACCATATGCATAGAGCTATTTTTATGCAGTAGATGCTTATAGGGCTGAAATACCTAATCACTTTGTCGTTAAACACAGTTGCAGTGTCCTCGCACTCCACTCTTGAGCCAGTGTCAATCTGTTATCCAATTTCTTACCTGCCCGCAGCACCCTCCTCTTGCAGTGCTCCCCTTCAAGGTCCAAAGCCTCAAGGGACCTGTGCTGTGGCACCTGACTAGGGAACGTGTAACATCAGAGAATAATTCTCTGCCTGTTGCCTCCCCAAAACCACACAGTCCCATCTCCTCCAGACTGCGCTGAAGCAGCATAACCTTTATTTGCTGGAAGGAGTCTCTGCTGGCAACAAAGGGGAGGGGAAGCAGGATGGACCTAATGAGACTGGGTTGTGCAGCATGAGGAGACCTCAGACCCGCGCCCAGCAGAAACAGGCAGGGAGAGAATGGTTCTCTCTACCAGAAGAGAGGAAAACCAAGCACAAGTCAATGGAGTGAGGATGTGAAAAATACAAAAAGAAGAGACAAAGAAGGAAGACAGAGTTCACTGGATAAGGAGATGGGGAGGGAAAGGTGCAACAAGACCTCAAAGGTACAGTACGCTTGGTCTCCAAAAGCCAACCGCAATCTCAACCGAAAGTTTTAGCCTTAATCTTTTAAATGCTTCACAATACCAGAGAGAGAGAGGTTTCATTTTCTCTTGAGGAACACTGATTTTAGGAGTGTGAGCACTGATTTTTGGAGCACTTCATGAAAAAAAAAGCACATTGCAAGAACTTCCCCCCCCACACACACACATTTGGCTTCAATTTACTCAACACAGACACGTGTAATAGCTGTCCCAGTCACTGAATTCCCAGATTTGCATAATATAAGGATATTATGTCCACACCCAAACTGTATTCTCCATGCACAGCAAGAGTGTGAAAAACCATTACATAAAAGTGATATTTCCTAAGCAGCTGAGGAGAACCACCCGCTTTCCCCTCCACCCACAGAGTTGCATTTTTCTTGCTGAAAAGAAGAAGATACAAGGACTTTTTCCTGCTTTTGGCCCTGATAATCACTTCACGGGAGTAGGGAGAACAAAGTAGAACCTTTACAGCTCCCACATCAGTAAGATTGCTAACTGAGGGCACATAAACCACTCCTTCAGACTAACTCAAACAACACATAATTGAAGTGATATAGCAAAGGGAATGGTATTTTTTTCCAAGCAATGACATTTGCACTGAAGAATCTTTACTGCTGATGTAAGAGTTGGAGGTAGAAACTTCTGGGAAACAGAAGTCCGTGTGTCCTTTTGCAGATAAAAGGGGGGAAAAAAATGCAGTATCAATCATACTTCAGTCTGGCATACAGCAAGACTGCCCAGATTCATAGGCACACCAGAAGTAGCATGCCACTTCAGCGCACACTTGCATTCCACTCTGAAGAGCCAACTGTCTCTTCCTGCCCATTGCATGAGAGCAGCAACACTCCTAACAGTTGCAAGCAATAGCCATCCTCACAGAAAGTCCCAGTGCATCCTGTTCTTTTGCAACGTGTGAAAGCATTTGGGGAACGTCATACAGATATAAATTCACGACGAGCCATTCATTTTGATGGAGTAGTAGAGACTTTTGTGGTTACATGTCAAACAGACATCACTGCAGATCCCCCAGTATATTTGCTCTATTCCGGCACCACAGGCTCTGTTCAGTGAGAAGAACAACTATTACCTAGATTTCAATTTAACAAAACCATAAGGTTTAGTTTTAAATACAGGAATTAAAAAAAAAATCCAAAACAAAAAACAAAAAACACCAAACCATACACACAGATTGGAACTACATTTTAAAAGTTTCCCCTTCACACAATCCACCCTCACGGCTAGCAATTAAGTAATAAATCCAAATATGCCAGGATAGCTATAAGAATGACATTTTACAGGTCAAACAAAAGATTCAAAGATAGTACTATACAGTGTGTGTGCATATCCTGCCAGAGATCTGTACAACTTTAGTTATGGTCTCACACAAGCTTCAATTTATAAAGTTTTGACAATTTGTCATAAACTAGTGTTTTTAGCAGATTTTAACTTTTTTATTTGTAAAAGAACTAAGTAGGATGTACTGTAGTATGGATCACCGAGGGTGGCTTTTCCGTATTTGCACATCAATGGCAAAAATCAAATGATTTAAACTAAAAAGAAAAAAGACACATGACCATTAAAATTAATTCTCCCCAAGTAAAAAAAAAAATATATGTATTTTTTTCAGAATAACTCAAGTTCTAAGACTTTTTTCAAGAAAGGTTCACATTCAAAATACCTTTCTGAACATAAGCAAAGCAGGCCTTCGCTATAGCAAAGCTTGACCCAAAGACAAAAAACTTGATAAAGTATAAACTGAAGACTTGTAATATGGAAGAAAATTCAGTAAAATGAACTGTTTGATTACTATTTCCATCAGAATTTCTGAGAGATTTTGTTTCATGAAATATAGCAGGCCTAGAAAACAACACATCTCCACAAGAAAATAGCCTTTACTACAGATTTGGTCTGCCAAAAATCTATATGGATACAGTTTAGTCATTTAGGTACAGCATTTTGTTTTAAAACACAAACTGACATCTTATTTGTGAATGGTATTCATTAATATTATTTATTACGTCATCCAAACCATGTTTTTTAAGGAGAACTTTATAGACAGACTCAGTCTTGCTCAGGTGGTCTTTTT